GGAGTGGAATGTTCTGGTAATATAAACTATCTTCGTCACGAGCACCAAGATTCATCAAATCATCCGAAAATAAATGAGCAGGTATACTGCACCTCCACCTGCTCGCACCTGGCGGTCATTATTCATTCCGACCACTTGCAGACACCTGGTGCAGGGATGCGTCCGATACAATTGTCACCACAACGACGAAAAATCTCTGCTGCTGTCCAAATGTCCAAGCACCCTTCCTCCATCACGCCACGTCGACGGCTCAAATCCAACGCATCACACTCGAATCTCCTTCGTCGGCTGCTGGCTTTCATGCGCTTCTTTAAACGAATCTCGGTCATCGTTCAACGCTTAACACTCGCTCGCCCAAAAGCTATAATTGCTGTAATGTATACGCCCGGTGCACAGTTCACCAACGAACTCGACCGAATGGAGCTGTTACCACCTTCACTCCCTCGGCAGAAAGATATCGGCGGCACTCATGGTATACAAGAGCAGACAGAGGATACTGGGCTGGCTGACAAGGCTGTCGCGTGGATGCTCGCTCCTGTATTCTTCTGCTGTGTCGTGGCCGAGAAAGCTAAGCCACCGCACACATGGAAGCCACCGAGGTCTTCAGCCGAGTCGTCATTTCTTTTATGCTGAAGTTGTTTGTATTAGCGAAGGATCTGCCGTGGGAACAGTTCAAGGGGTCTGGAAAAAGCCAAGTAAGGGCCTCCCGCGAAGCCGCAAAACCATTTTCTTCGAAGTAAACGATAATTATTGAATAAAGCAGCGTTTAGAGTACACTGCCAAAGCTTTCTCCATGCTGTGCGTGATCAGTAGGGAAAGTAGCGTACCTACAGCGGTTTTCAAGTTAGGTGTTTCGATAAGAGGCATCATCAAATTATCTTACTCTTTGCTGCTCTGCTGCACCTGCACATACGATGAAGGGGAAAACTTAAATCGAACTGCAGCAGCATTGTTAATGGTCTCGCCAGTCTTCCCAGTCCACGTTCAGACTTCGGAGCGGTACCAGTTCTTTGCGAATCCTATGCAGTTCACGAGATCGTTAGTCAGTTTTCCCGTCATCAATTGCTTTAAAGCATGATGATCACGTACGGGTTCCAGACGAGCTCGTTTTCGTTGTCAGTCTTGGTATCCTTCTCCTGTGGGCGGTCCTTAAACTCCTTGGACAGCAACTGTAGCTCTGATGCCGAACTGGAGTTAATATCCGCCTCCAAATTCATGGCATGCATCGCGCTCTCGGCAATAGCTTCCTGATGTAGACGAGCAATTTCTTCATCCTTCTGGCGCTGAATCTCCTCGCGCTGCTTTCGGCGCTCCAGACTCACCAGTCGTGCGCGTGACCACTATCCAGAAACGATATTAGTTCGACAATTTGTCATCTGTTTTGTTCCCACAATTTACTTACCTCTTCAGAAAACTGCTTCTGATGATCTGTCACATCCATGAGCCCCAAATCGATCTCATCACATTGCTACAGTAGTTCGCAAAAGATTCACCAATATAGGAAGTCAATACGACGAAGATATCGTGACTGCAAACAAAAGATCCCGTCATACCTCGAGTTTCTGCTCAATCTTGGCCGCGGCCTCTTCCTGTAATTACCATTGAGACACCACATTCAGTATGTTGCAAACGATATCCACACATCTTCCAACACCATTACCTCGTAGTCGATCATATTGGCAATAGCGTCCGAGAGCTCCGCTTTCAAGTTTCCCATTTCGCGGATGAATTTCTACAACATCAGTAGAACAGTTAATCGCCGTGCTCGCGAGCATAACCAATTCTCTCCCGTCACTTACGTTGCGCACTTTCACCAGTCTCAAACAATCCTCCGCTCTCTGTTTAATCTGTGAGGACGCCGTCGCTCTGTCCGCAACAAGATCTGCTGCGGTCTGGTACCTCGTAGCTGTATCCTTGAGCAAAAATTGGTGTCTCTCTCTGATATGTTGATCCAGGAACTTCACCGCCGTCTTGTGGTGATCAATCTTTTTAAGAACATCCAGCACCGGATTGGCCGAGTGCGAGTTAAGCTTCATAGGCAGCACGTGGTGGAGCTCACCCGCTGGGTCCTGGTTGTCAGGTAGCTCCTCCATATCGACGTCGTTGCCGATCAGATTGCCCTGCTTGGTGTCCGCTCCTCCATCTGCAGCAGCTGCAGCTTCTAAAAATTCAGGTATATCTTCACCTGTGCAGCGCCACATCTTAAGCACCTGAACGTCCGAGAAAATCTTCTTCTCGTGCCACAATTCCAGAAGTCGCGTAACATTTTGTCTGTCCATTGGGGAGTTGCATACGAGAGCCACAGCCTCCTCCAGGTGCTGGCTGAACAAGTCCACGAACAGAGGCGTCTTGTTGGCCTCCAGCTCGTCAAAAAGCGTCTTCTGCAGCACGTGATTGGCCACATACAGGAACGCCACGCGCTCCGACTGGAAATCGCTGGCTCGCAGTGCCTGGATCCAGCTCTCCACCATTTCCCGCGCCTGTGACGCGTCGCCTGAGCGCTGTACACGCATCATACCGTCACTCACAGCCTCGACGCGTTCCTGCGTCTCATCCAGCTCGCGTAGATCGGCCAGGAACTCCTCCATCATTTCAGAAACGAAAAAAAAAGCAATGATTTTGGCTGGTTAAAACCATAAGGTCATACTTCTGAAATAAGGACTACAAAGAAACACAAATATTGCTGTTATGTGTCACAGTTCTTGTTGTATTCTGAAGGAATGTAGTATCTTCACTTTGAGCTGTTGCCCGCGCCGACATGCCATTCCAATACATAAACTACTACTAGTATGTCATAAACACTTTCACTCGATCACAACGAGATCTAAAACGCAACAGCTTGCTTTCCGAACGAGTCGCGTCCCTCGCTCACTCGCTGCGCTGTTGCGACGGTACCAGTCGGTCGTGGGTGGCCACAGTCCCGGCAGAAGGCGGCAGTGGAGTTTCCGAACGGCATCCGGCACTTAACACACGAGGTCATCGGCGTCTGCAGTGAACCATTGGCCACCACCGTCGACCGCGAATGCGCGGAGCTGGCAGAGGCTCCTGATATTGCGAAAGGTGACGGCTGTCCGAACGAAGTACCAGATAATGACATTCTCGATCGCGACATGGACGATCGTGAAGAGCCCCGCGTCAGAAATCCCTTGGACTTCTTTGAGTATAGAGACGTCGGCGTCGGTGTGGGCGTGGAGGCTGCCGACGGCTTGGAATACAGTGAGGTTGGTGTCGGGGCAGCCTTCGTGTTGGTCTTGGACTTCTTGCCGTACATCGTAGAGGGTGATGGAGCCGGGGTCGTGTTTTTGGTCTTACAGTACAGCATACCGCGCTCGGCGGGGCTGGGAGCACCGTAGTTTGGGTCCTTGGTACGAGACACTGCTGAAGTTGAGTAGAGAGACCCCGATGGACGGCCGCAAGGAGACGGTCGCGAGTACGATCTCGCTTGCAGCGGTGAACTCACACGACTACTCTTGTTGCCCATGATTTCTGTAGTTGCCCCAGCAGTTTGGTTGCTTTTCACGGAATGAGATCACTTTACGGTTAGCGCAGACACCAGTGCCCATGGTGATAGGACAACGTCCGCTTAGGGAACCGCCTGAGTGCGACAACGTTCCAGACGGCTGTGACAGGTTGCTTCGTATGGCTCCGAGTCGGAGTCCGACCTTCCCCTATGTGGCTCGGCTATCAAAATATGGCCAGATAACTCGCAGATCTCAAAAATTCGGGATATCATCTTTCAACTTGGGAGTTAATACTTGCTGGTGTGCTTGAAAATTTTAAAATGCTCCTGGAAGGAAGGCTTTCCTACGTCTGTGGCTGAAAGACCCGTGGGTTGTTACCAAGTACCCGAACTATCGTCCCGCTGTGATCCAGCTCAGTAGCGAAGGTCGCTCTTTTTTTGTTTCTGTAAGTGGTGGCAAGCGCAACAACAGTACCAAACTGTAAGTACTTGCTCTTCACCATAACTACTTAACTTGCGGTATTTAGGCGATGACAGCACATGTGCCTCAATCGCATCAAACTTAGTTTTCAAATTTGCCTGCAATATTTGCCCCAAAAAAATTTAAAAAGAAAATTGTTTTGGCAAATGACAGTACAACCAACTTCAACATCCGTTTTTAGCGTCCCTTCAAGATCTTTGGCAGTCTCCGCACTCGTCTATAATAAGACGTTGTTGAATGGACCATTGCGTGGTTTTGGCTGAATCTGAAGATCTCCTATTGCTGAGACCCTCTTTGCACGCATTATGGCTCGATCAGCGACAAGTGAGCACAGCGTAGAGGCTGCTCGCGCAGCTTCCGAGTCTGAAGTCGTCGTAGAAGCCGAGGAATCCCAGCTGGAAGACGCACCCGGAGCATTCCCAGACAGTGAGGAAGAAGGCGAGGATGACGAGGAAACGGAGCTTGAACACGCAGCTAGAGCTGGAATCCGCCTTCTAGAGGAGAATGCACAGCTACACGAGGAGCTGCATCAATTACAGGAGCAATGTGCGCAAATTGAGAGCGAGAAGGACGAACTGCTTCGCCTTGTAGCCGAGAAAGAGCAGAAGGAAAGACAACTATCTGATCATCTGCGTGAATGCATCCGAGAGAATCAGGGCGTCTTATCGGAGCTTAGCAAGGCCAAGGAGCAGATAGACGAGTTGAAGACGCAGCTCCAACTTCACCAAGCCCAGACAAGCCGTCGATCACCTGGTAAGAGACGTGCTAAGCGTTCATCTCCACGTCTCAAACTGCAGCTACAACTGGATCCATCGATAGGATCCATCCCTCCTGCAGATGAACCCCTATCGTCCGAGGAGCCTTCACCAGCACACAGCGGTGGTAGTCCAGAGAAGCAGGAGTTCGTTCCAGCTGTACGAAGGAATTCAATGCCTACTGTGCTAGAAAATGACTCTGAAGTTGAAGCCAAGTATGAGGAAGCACACCGACGCAATAGTGTACTCGGAAGGGAGCTTGCCAGTGCTCACAAGCAAATTGGAGAGCTTAAGCCACTTCAGGGTCAGCTACGCGAGACTGACCTAGAAGTGCAGCTACTTCGTGCAAAGGTGGAGGAGCAAGCTCGTGAAATTGCTTCTTTCGCCGAAGAGCGTGAAGAGGAGCGCGAATTGATCGCAAGTCTACGCCACACAATCGAGATCTACCAAACTCTGGACGACCCGTGCGCCAGAAAACGCGATGAGATGCGATCTGTGACCACCAGAGCAGATGACGACATACCCGTATCACCACGAAGTTCACCTCGCCGACTGTCGGACAGGAATCGGAGACGAGTAGCTGCCTCAGTCCCACCGCCACCTGGAGTATTACCAGCTGACACTTCTTATCCAGCGTTGGAAGAACGCTTCAGTCTTCGCGATGAAAATGACCGCCTTGTTGCTGAGTTAGATCATCTCGGGCAACAAGTGCTAAATCTCAAGCTCCTGGATGGAATCTCAAGGACAGTTCGCTCACCGAAGAAGACTCCACAAGGTGGCACGAGCTTTGCGAGCTTGTTCACGTCTGCACCAGTAGAATGCCAAAGCCAGACTGAGTTAGCTACCGGCACTGTTGGTCCAGTGGGCTATGGAACTAGCTCGCGAATGAGATTCCTGGAGCAGCAAGTATCCGTGTTGCAAGATTTACTTCATCGATTTCGAGTTCAGTGGAAATACGAGTGTGCAACACGACGCGCTGCCGAGAGTGACAAGGCCGACTTGCTTCAGCGAATGGAAAAGATGCAGACGCTTCTGAGACGCCAGTGTCTTTCTTGCGAAAAAGAGCGTGAGGACTTACTATCCGAAGGTGACGATACCTCGTGGGAAAACTCGGCAGCAGTGTACGAAACCTTGGTGGATCATACGGCAGAATGCCAAACCAAAGAAGAACAAGCTGAGGCTGAACACATTTGCTTTTCCATTCTGCGTCGTCTAGTAGACAGCTGGACGACTGACAAGGCAAAACGAATGCGACTACATGACTGGCTTACGAACGCTATCCGCGGCACAGGAAAGCGTCGTCCTCTATATCTCTATGGACTTTCAGGCGAGATTGCATCGGGTTTCCAGGTTTTGCTAGTGCCCATATTACGAGAAAAATTTGGAGTCGAGGTGCAGATTGAAAAGCGTCTGCGCAATGTGATCGTGACCGACCTGAAAATGCAGGTTACAGGAGCTGATGCAGCAAAGGCTAAAGCTTGTTTGCAACGTATCAGTCGCTCGCTGCTGTGGCTCATCGATGTGGAATCTGCACTTATTGAAGACCAAGACTGGGTGGGCGAGTATGCACGCAGAAAAGCGGCTAAAATGTGCGCCAACATTTAGTCATAAAGTAACTTGTGCATTCAAAATTAATGTTGCTTCGCTTGATCCGTTCTTCTGCAATCAAAACTACCGTAGTCGTCCCTTCGCCTCGCCATTCTTCAGACAACGCTCGTAAATAAATGCTGGTCTTCAGCAGAATGGATCTCGGGCGACGTCAAAGCTGTTTCGTCGTTGTAGTCATTCACCAGCATCCGATAGTCTGCACGAATAGGGACTCGTTGATTCAGCGCAGGCTGCCGATAAACATTATCCAGGAAGAAAAACTTGGGTGCTGTTGGATCACGGAGGCCTCGCGCAGTGTCCAGATGCACGCAGTCGGTCAACGGCAGATATTTGGCCACCGGTGGATAGAGCGTGAGGACGTGGTAGTTGAACAACAGCACGATAACGATGAGCACAATGATAATAATCGGGGGAGTGGTAGCTTTCTTGAGTGACAAAATTCCGATGAGCGTGAGCTGTGCAACGACGAGAGCGATAATGCAAAACTTAAACATGCGTGGCCAGTAGGCCCCCAGCGCAAAGCACATTGGCTTGTACACGCAAAGTACCTGTCGGCGATAGACGATCTCGGCCATGAAGAAAAAGAACCATGTAAAGTAACAAACCAAAGGCGCGATCGGTGCGAACGTCAGCGTGACCAATAAAACCAGAAAACAATCGGCAAGAGGGTTCGTTGGATCAAACGGATCGGTCTTGGCGATATCACGCAGGCCCAACCATGGCGAATTGCGCTCACGTCGCGTGTGTTTCGGAGCCAAAAGGGCATAAAGCGCGGACACAATCAGCGGAACTACACGTAGCAACTCCAAAACTAGGCCCAAACCCGTTTGCACGATCACGTATGAGATGAAGAATGTCGACTGTTGAGGCATGCTGAGACCTAGCATGGACACTAGCTTCTTCGGCTGATCCAAAATCTCCTTGAGACTATCCAAGATGGTTCCGACAACCACTGTCACGAAAAAGATCTGGACCAACTGGAAATACGCCAATTTCGAGAATAATGCAGCACGAACTTCAGTGTTCGACGGGTGGCCCTCTCTACCCGATAGGAATTTGAACACAATTGGCGCCAATGCACTCAACGCCACAAGAGCCAATGGTGCGATCTGCTTGAAAATGTCTTGAAGAATCGGATACTCGTCAAAAGCTCTGTTCAAGAACGGAAGTGCGCGTCGAAGTGACTCAACAGTGGCCAGTGAGGCCACAAATGCAGTCGGGATCGTCCAAAACAGCACAATAGTGGCCGAAATCAAGGACGACACAAGCATTCCGAGAGCTCGAGTGCGGTAGCGGAGTCCAATGTTGTCCCAATTAATGTCGTCCACATGCGGTGCCGGCGCGACAGTCATGCACTCAGGATCTTCAGACTGTAGTGTCTGTTGCGCAACTTGCGCTGACATGAGTGATGAGAATGAAACAAATGCAGCTCGCCTCATCACCCGAATGGGGCGGTCTTTGCGAATCTGCTCACGCTCCTCCTGACTCATTTCTCGTTCGCGTCGGCGCGCTTTTTTCTCATTAGTATCATCATCTTCAGCACCTCCAAAACTGTTTCGCAGTTGTTCTGCTCGCCCTCTACGATCTATCAATGGGGCCCTCTTCGGGTCACCGTCTACTTTTGATTTCTTTGCCGCTCTTTTCCAGCTGCCTTCAGACAATTGCATCTCGTCATCATCGTCGAAGCTCCCCATTTCACGTTCCTGTTCTTCCACTTGAATAGCAAGTTGTGCTTGAGCGTCGTCGATACTTCGAATCTCTCTCGCTACTTCTTCATTTAGCATCGCCAATTGGTCCTGATAGTGATCAATACTATCGACCTCGTAACCTCGACTTCCGGTCTTACACATCATCATCCGAACCCATGATCTCCCTTCTCGATGTCGCGGTCTCTTGCGTGATCGTTCACACTTCGCCAATGCGTGTTCAAGATTTCCACGGACCTTTTCGCGTCGATTTACCAGCGCTTCCAATGTGGCACATTCCAGTGCCACATAGACATTTCGGATCGACGATGGGAAAATCGTGGACATATATTTCTTCAGTGTTTGGCGTGTTCGTAGATGCAGTGGCAAGTCATTGACCAGCACCGAATACTGCGGTGCCTCCATTCTTCCTAACACTTCATGACGATATTGCACGTACAATTTGTATTCTTTGACCAACAGTCTCATTGCGTATATCGCCATCACGAACGCGACGACTGTAGGAGCCCACAGTCTGTCACTGTGTTCAGGTAGATTACTCATGGAGATCCGCGTCATTGGGTCAATAGATTCTCCATTGCTCGGTTGCTTCGCTACTGTTGCGTATACCGGGAACAGCACGGCCGAGCACCCTACAGCCAATAGTGCCAGCTTCTGACCAAGTCTCAGGAATCGAAGGAACGTCAAAGTGTCCAATCCACATCTTTCCAAAATGTCATCGTCTGGCACTCGGAAATCCGCAGGAACCCAACGGAAAAGCCCATCGCGTCGAGTATTCAAGGTGGATACGTTGAAAATATCTTCCTCTTGGCGACGAGTGTCGTAGGCGCGACGGAAGCGTCTACGAAGACACTCGAAGAGTATCAGTCCCGCTCCCAGTATTGGAAAGTAAATCGACACACTGGTCTTGATAGTGCCGCTCGGGTTGGCGTTCGCCGCAGCGGCATCTTGCTGCGTCGTGCTCATGGCCGTCCCAACGTGAAGAACGAAATGTGGCAGTTGGACGATCCACAAAACTGTTTACTCCGGTCTCAAAATTGTACTGCAAATTTTGTACAAAACCTTTTGAGACATGCAGTACTTTCAAATCGAGGTTTCTTGCCAAAAATTGGAAAATATATTTTTTCGGATACGAGTGTCTGTACATTGTTTTCCCTGCAGGATTAAAGCAGTAAGTGGTTTTACCAACAGACCTCAAGGTGCACACAGTTTCCCCAATCATTTTCAATTGACGTTCTTCAGTCATAGCGACGCGGGAATCGACGGATACGACTATAAAAACATTTGTAAGCTTGCGCGGATGAACCAAGCTGGTCCGATCCTGCGCAAACTGCTGCAAGGGCGCCTTCGGATAAATGAGGTGATCAGCTGGAACACTTGCGGGGTGACTATGACACTACTAAATCTGTACTCATACCACGTGAGTTTGTTTCCATCATTGTGCTGGCAACACTTCTCAACGAATAGATCTCAGCTGAGAAGGTCGCTGCTAGTGTACGTATTAGTACATCTACAGTACACATAATTCACAGTCAGTGGTGCCCCAGGGATGCTAAGGTTTAGCTACAGCAAACCTCGCCACCCTCGCGGCGAGGGTTCGAGAAAAAGTAAACGTAATTGAACCGACCTCTTGCTGGAAGAGTGGATATGTCACCAAGTCGGCAGATCTTACCTGCTTAGGAGGAAACCCAACGACATGTACACATGTAAAGTTTTCGTACTGTACGACTAGAAAAGACGAGCCGTCTGAACATACAGTGCTCGCAGCTTCGTGTGCAGCGCGGCGCGTAGTGCAAAGGTGTCGTGCAGACTGCTTCGTGCAATGCGATGCAATGCAATGCACCAACGGAAAGTTTTCATGTCAAATGGGCAATACATGAATGAATCCTTACGGTTCTCAGAATTGTCAGCTGGTAACGATGGCGCGTGCCTCTCGATTTTTCAATCGTTTTCAGATCAAATCCCGGAAATGAAAAGTGGATGGAGCTCAGCGATGCCCTTTTACATGCAAAGCGCCTCTGCATAAGAGTAGCCTAAGCTTACTTCGGGCCACATACAATAGCGTACAGCAAGCCTTGAAGTCATGCCGAGCATTTCATTAGCCGGATCGTTGCTTGAAACGAGAGTGGTGCTGCTTTCCAAGCAAAGGAGAAAACATTTACTACCAAATTGCTTTACGAGTTTTGCTGACGATCTCCACCAGACTGAATGCTCCAGTACGGTGCATGCTCCAGGCTAGTGACCAGCCGCACCAGAGGAATGCTGAGCTTCGCCAGCGTGAGCGCCGATACAGTACGAGAGACGGAGGCTGGCGCGTGCCTCGATCCAATCACACCGCTATTACGCGTGCCCTTCAATGTACAGTTTTTTAGTTTCGACGGGATCGAACAGCAAAACCAGGACAACCAAGCACAACCACTTGATGCTCTGTAAGCAGTGCCTCGTGGCACTTTAGCCTGCACCACCGCCTCGTAGTGGTTTTGAAGCTACATATATGATCTTCACGTGGCAAGTGCTCTGATCAGTTCTGTAGCTTTGGGCACCCCCCGCATACTTAAACAAAAAGTCTCTCTTGTCAATTACATGTACTTACGTTCGTGTTCTGTTGCCACGACTAGCATAATGGTGCCTCTCCGATTGGATTTGTGTAGAAGGGCAAATCTGATGATCCTCGGGTTTTATCTTGCAAAACCAGACCGACAATTACAACTTGGTCTGTCACACTTTTGGAAGAGGTTCCTCCCTCTCTGCGGAGATTAGAGGGTTAATCCGCGCGTTCGGGTACAGCGCGGGTCATCCTGCGTTACACATCGCGCCTGTGCTCGTGGTGGGGTTGTCGGATGCAATGCGAGCAGGTCCAGTCATCTGCACGCTCATCGCTGCCGAGATGCCAGACTTCGGTGAAGCTCATTTTTCAATCTCCAAAGCGCGATGGAGGCTCCTGAGCAACTCAAGAAGAATTCCTACGCGGAAGTCAAGTCGCCCTATGCGGAGAATGACATTTCGCTCGGCCAGCATGAGAACGGTGCTCTGCGTGCCCCTCGTGGCTCCGTGTCGGTGTATTCGTGGGAGAACTTCGGCATGGCTGCCCATTCGGCTGGTGTCGGTATCGTGAACAGCACCATCAGTGGTGTCGTCTACGCCGTGTTGAACAATTACCTCCACATGTCTGCGACTCTAGTTGCTACGGCCGTTGCTCTCATCCAGTTCCCTCGTAGTCTTCGTGTGTTCACCGGTATGCTGACGGACACCGTCCCGATCTTCGGCTACCGTCGCCGCCCGTACATGGTGATAGGATGGGGAATGACGTTCGTGTCGTGCTTCCTCATGGCTGTGCTGCCTCTTGGTGATCCGTACTACGGCGACCAATCCATTGCCGAATTGGACACCGCTGAGCTCACCCCCGAGCAGCTTGCGACGATCGACACGGACGCTCCCAACCGCGGTATCAAGATGATTATCCTGATGATGATCGCCAACTTTGGTACGGTGCTCTCGTACAGTGGCTTTAACGGTACCATGATTGAAATCTCGCAGCAGGAGCCTGCCCACAAGCGCGGTACCGCTATGGGTGACTGTGACGTTGTCTTCTATTGGTTCGCGGTCGTCTCAGCCTTCTTCACCGGTCTGGGCCTCAACAGCGAAGACTACGGTGGCACCTTCTCGTGGTCGGTCGGCTTTAACGCAATTATGGGCGTTTGCGCCGGTATGTCGATCATTGTTTTGCCCTTCTGCTGGTTCTGCATCCAGGAAGAGCGCGTCACGTCCGGTCCGTCCAAGTCGGTCTTCACGTTCCTCTACGAGCTGCTTCAGCGTAAAACCATCTACCGGTACATCGCTTTTCGTTTCTTCTACAATGTGTTCGCTATGATTTCCGTGACTTCGGCGAACGCTATTCAAAGCACGTGGGCTGGCGTTGAGCCCATTAACAACGGTATCGCGGCTATGCTTGCTTCCTTCCTGACCATGCTCGGAACGTACTTGATCAAGAAGTACGGTCTTGCTTGGAACTGGCGCTACATCATCATTTTCGCTCAGATTCTTGTCGTGTGTCTCGATATTTTTCCGACGATGTTCACGATCTGGGATGTTGTCCGTAGTCAGTGGTTCTGGCTTGGTGTTCCACTCCTCGAGAAGATCCCGTTCGCCGCGACCGATTTCGTCGGCGCTCTGTTCATGCTCGAGGTTGACAGTGAAGACTTCGAGGCCACGCTGTTCGGCTTGGCTGTGACCTCGCAGCGTGTCGGTATCCCGTTCGGGACGGTGATCACCAAGTCTGTCGACGGCTACTTCGACATTGAGCGCGAGTACATTCAGCAGGACGACCACCACGTGCGCTCGCAGGTCACGTACGCCTACTTGATTGCCTACGCTGTTAACCTTCTCGCGATCGTGTTCGTGGTGCTGCTCCCTCGCCAGAAAGAAGAGCTTCACCGCATGCAGCGCGACAACGCCACGAATAAGATCATGGGTATCGTGACCATTTGCGTTCTCATCTTCGCTCTGGCCTGGTCGCTCATGACCAACATCCTGAGTCTATTCGACTCGACGAGCTGCCTGCGCATTGCTGGTGGCAGCGGATGCTAGAAACGTCCGGTAGATATTTGTTCAGTTTTAAGACAATTTGACAATTTCTTGCATTAACGTAAAACAGTACTGTATTTTTTTCCAAAAACATTACTTCAAGTTGAAGCAAAAACCTTCAAATTGAAGCAATAAAGTACTTTGTATCGAAAAAGTGCTCATAGCTTATGGCCGACTTTGATCTTTTTTTTTAGTATGGTGGGCCATAAGCTATGAGCACTTTTTACAGCAAAAAAAGTACTTTGTATCGAAAGTGCGCATTAGTTTCGGCCCACTTTTGATCATTTTATAATATTGTTCAGTGCAAAAAAAAACTTCAACGTTCTTTATCTTTTTTTTTGTAAAGAGCAAACATCATTCTGACTCTGATAAGCATCAGATTAATTTGTTGATTTTCGGATATTTGTAATTTGTTGCCGAATCAGATTCAGTCTGATTTTGGCAAGTATCAGAATTAAAATTGAAATCGGAGAATTATCATAGTCAGACCAAATCTGATTCGGCAACTTCAACCCTATGGAGCAAAAGTAGTAGTAGTACTTACATGCATATTACTATACTTACATGCATATTACTACTACAAGTGCATTGCTAAACTACTACTCCGGTTGCTCATTGTAGTCGTCTTTGTTTTGTTCAATTCAAAAGTTAGCAGGCACCAATACCCTACTTCCTGCAGCTAACATGATTTGTGATCGTGTCTGGGCTCTTCTCTCGAGCCATCGTATCCTTTTGCTTACTTCGGCGCATTCGCGAGCGTTTGGTAGGCGTTCCAGCACTCAAAGTGAACTTTGCCGATTCCGCTGGCCAATTCGTAAAAACGACCATCGAACCGCCCGGGGATCTGTAGAATTGGCTGCGCGCAGTGCACACACTTAGGTGCCACCGACTGCTGGTACTGCTCCCAGCACTCGAAATGCACAAGGCGCTCTCCCTCGATCTTGTAAAAGCGACCGTCAAACTTTCCTGCGAGCTTGATCACAGGCTCACCGCAATGCACGCAGCGCTGGGCGGTGGCCATCTGGTACGCCTCCATGCATTCACCATGGCACTTGCCGCCGTTAACCTGGTAATATTTGCCGTCAAAACGACCAGGAATGGCAGCAATCGCGTGACCACAGTGGATACACTTTTCCGACGTACGGATCTGGTACGCGTCAATGCACTCGGCGTGTACACTGGAGCCGTCCGGGAGAGTGAACATCCGGCCCGAGAATCGGCCTTCCACCACTTCAATGCGCTGGTGGCAGTCCACACAAACAGGAGTATTACGCTCACGGTACGCGTCCACACAAGCGCCTTGGCACACACGGTCGACCTTCCTCTGTCCGTCTTGCTCGTGCGTGAAAGTACGGAATGTGCCCGATAGCGCCTTCTGACAAATGCAGCATACAGGCAGCGAACCCGTGTCCGAGACTGGCACCACTGCCGTCGGCTTGGACGTGAAGAGTGTCATCGAAAAGCCCAGTTGATACGGCAGATGACCATCATAGGTCGCTGGAATGATCACGAACGGCTTGCCGCCATCAGCTGGCATCAACGGGAGCTCCAGAACGCAGCTACGGTTCGAAATGAAGGTACCCGTAGCCACTACATCCTGCGAGAGGTCAATCTTGCGCTGCTGACGCTCTCCATTCTTCACTACAACCGGTGCAATGTACGAAGTGTACTCCGTCTCCATCTTCATTCGGCGCGATGGCTGCTCCAGATGGACGATCAGGTTGCAGCCATTTGTAGCTGGAGAGAAGAGCTGCACCTGCGGGTTCAAGTGCATAGCATCGCGTCCACCGCTCGTAATACCATTCCACTCCCCTGACACAATGTGGATACTCAAACTAGGAGACACCGGGTTGCCAAGTCCATCCGGAAGGGATCGGAAGTTGTACAGGTTACGCGACTCGATGATAGTCGTGAAGAAGCAGTAAAAAGCGCTGAAATCCATCCAGTACGTGTGGTCCTCGCGGAATTGGAAACCACACTCCACCTTTTGCATACGGGAGAAGCTGTGCCACTTCGGATCTTCGTTAGACCATGAACCTTTCCACTTCTCACGTTGCTGGTGCGTTCCAATGCCCCAACTGTTGCGCAACTGAACCAAACGAGTGTGTTCACCCTGGTAATCCAGCTCCACCAGTTTCATGAGACCATAGGCATCAGTCTTGCGAAGTCCTGTGGGCAATTCAGCGGCCATGTCTTCGTTGCTGCAACCCACAAGGGAGCCAGCCTGAAGAGCGCTACTGATTGCTTGCCACGCGACTTCCTCGTTCGGGCACTTCTCCTGCAACTTGTAACGAGAAGGAACACCACCGTAGAGGTCTTGTAAGGCATATCCTTCCTGTCCACCGACGATCGTCTCGTATCCGCCGTGAAGCTTCGCGTACGCCTTCTCTACCAGCAACGACCAGATCTCAAACTTGCCGTTGCTACCCGTGAAGGAGCCGAACACCGGCTTGCCATATTGGCTACATGGAATGTAATCATCAACAACAACCACGCGGCTGCGATTGTTGCGCCAGAAGCGCACAGCATACACTCCCTCTTCGTTATACTGCTGTTCCTTCGGGAAAGCAGTGCCGACTTCAACCCGATCGGGGCGCACCAAGTCGTCACTCAGCTCAGGGAAAACCTGCGACAACGCAAGCTGTGACGTAGATAAAATTGATAGCGCACCAAACACATACGCATCCGCCAGTCTTCCAACACGCATATCACCAGGACTAATGCCAACACCGGAGATACGACTAGCAGCCTTGGACTCGCGCGAACGGTCAAAGAGACACGTACCCTGAGCACGGAAGTACACAGGCACTAACACCGAGACGCGTGATACAACTCCAGACTCCGATCCATCAACGCGATAGCCGGATCCTTCTCCTACGCTAGCAAAGGCAAGAGGCTTGTAGTGGTCGAGCAAGCTCTTCTCCCACATGAGTTCAAAGCGCTGTAGTCCGTCCTGCACGAACTCGCTCATATGAACAATCATATTCTTCGTGAGAAGCAGCAGATGATCGCGTTTACGCTTCGTGACACCCGTGGTCACTGCATCCTTGGCAATCTTCAAAAACTGCGGGTCGACGGACGTCGGGGTCTGGCGGATCACCTCCAGAATGCTTTCAGCCTCAGCTGGGTTCTTGATAGACATACTGCACACAAGCTTCTTGTCGTCATCCAACATAGTTATCTCCACATACGCCGTCTCGTTGAAAAAGTCCGTCACGCGCTTCCACTTCCAGATGTACTCTTGAAGGTGCGGGTACTTCGGATTAGTCGCGTCACGGAAGATCGAAGACGCGTCAGGCGGGAACTGTGGGTCCGTGAACTTGGTTCCAGCCTGTCGGTTCTTGCGCAGAATCTGTAGCCACTCGCCGTTATCCGGCATTGTACGTTGGTTATAATAGCGTTCCTCGACCGGATCAGCGCGTTCGTTCTGCACCACAGTGATAGTATCGTTCACCTTGGTCACGTTGTAGCCTTCGGTGCGTTCCTGGGGATTAGTACGGTTACGCTTCACAGCGTTCGAGATCTCAAGTCTCGTACTCAATGAATCCATGTTTCGAGCACGAACAACCTGTCGAATATGCACCCCGACACCTTTTCCATCGGGTTCATCTCTTTCACCTTCGGGTTTGGCACTCACTGACAGATTCGCGAGCAATGTGCTGATACTGCTGCCTGACGGGGCCGCTGCCTCCAGATTCACGGAAGCAGGCGGCTCAACGGGAGCGGCAGGCGTCTGTGGCGGCGCGTAAGGATCGTACGTAGGCGAAGCAGCAGGCGGTGCGTACGGGTCGTGCACCGGAGCTGCAGGAGAGGCAGCGGGAGGTGCCGCTGCAGAAGGTGGCGCGTACGGATCATTAGCCGAGGCCGCAGGAGCAGCATACGACGGGTTGAAAGGGACACTGGCCGACGCCGCAAAGGTCGAGGTCATCGGTTGTGAAGTTGACGGAGGAGCAGTGTACGACGTGGAGGCCACGCCGAACAAATCTCCCCCGTCGTCATTAGGTACAGCTGCAGGGGCAGGTGAAGCTGCTGGGGCGGCCGAGGGACGATGAGCGCCGCATTCTCCGCAGAATAAGGCGGTAGAGTCGCCGAATGCTTCTCCGCATTGCGTGCACTTTGTGCTCGAAGTTGCAGAGCTTGGTGGCGCAGCATAACTCGGAGTGGAGCTCGTCACGGGCGTAGAATAGGACGAAGTCGAGGGAGCCGAATACGAAGCGATCGAAGGCGCTGAATACGCAGTCGATGGAGATGAATCCGACGCACTCGAAGGCGCCGACGTGTAGCTAGGCGTGGAGTAGGAGCTGGAAGAGGTGGCAGTAGACACAGGAGCTGCGTAGGAGGTGAAGCTCGAGCTGGAGGAGGAAAACGAGGAGGTGGACGCTGGCACGGGCGCAGGGGCCGAAGCAGGAGGCGGGACATCTTCACGTGGAGCTCCACACTCTGCGCAGAAGCGCGCGCTCGCGATCTCATCGGGTTCCCAGCGGTGACCACACTCCCCACAGAACATGGTGTCGATGTTGGGGCAGATCTGCAAATGAGCCTGAGGGGAGACCATCACTTGGTTTGAGTATGCAAGTATTTGTGACACATTCCGCGATCGAGCAAAAACTGCACCAGATGACGCCTTCAACCTGAACTTCACTTTGGCTTTGCAAAAAGTTGGGAACAAAAAGTTGGGAACATGAAGGTTGGGAATACATTAACGACACACGGCAACATGCACAATAGATATGCCCGTAATGAGGACAAGGAAATAGTGAAGAGAAAAACGCTAGGCTACACGTAGCGTCGAGATGCGGCAGAGTTGGCCAGCTGCGGCGCGTTGCCACCGTCCAGTGACGACACTTTGGCCAACCAGCGGATGAGAAGTTGTGCTAGGAACTGAGGGAGGCGGCGGCGACGCAGGAAGTGCCACACGCGCACACCAACAAGCACAATGAGCGCGGCACGGAACATGCGGTTCTGAACCCAGCCCCGCACAACCAGGAAGATCTGACGCACACGGGCTTCCACTGCAAGCAGCATTGAGTTCTCGGCGCGTACAGCCACCTCCTGTTGACGCAGCGTCAACCGCTGCAGCTCGGTCGAGTGCTGGACAACATCGTCCTCCAGGTTCTTGACCAGCGATACCAAACTGTTGCGGATCTGCTCCATCTGCTCGAGTTGTTCATTTAACATGGAGCGGTTGTCGCGCGTGAAGTGCAATAAGTGCTCTTCCAGCTCCTCGCGCTTCTTGGCCTCATCCTCGACGCGCTCCTGAAGTTCTCCCAATTCATCGTAGATGCGGGGCAAGCGCTCAAGCATGCTAGTAGATCTCTGCACACGGATAGGCGTGGCAGAACCCGCATCAGACGGCGACCGGACAATGGAGGCATCACTCGCCCCCATTGAGCTGCTTCTTGTGTCCATAGCATTGCGCAAATTGGCGCTGCGACGCCAGTCATCAACCAGGTTGTCCAATGCCGTCGTATAGCGCTTCATGGCTTCCTGGCGCGTCATGTTGCCAAGGTTGCGCCATTTCTCCCTGTTTAGCCACAAACACCACCTAGTTAGCATCTGGAATTTGGCCAACAAGTCCAGGTTTAAAGCTCACCATTTGGACAGCTCGAGTTTGCTTAGTCCAGCGGGCGGTGTGGTTGTCGGACACGGCCCAGTCGTAGCCTGCTGATAATAGGCGTACAAGTCCTTCCTAGGTGACGAGTTCTCCTGTGTTAAAATGCGGTGCGGGCCGTGGTAGCTCTCCACAAAGAGCACGGCACCTGCAAAGTCCGTCTCCAATTGGGCGCAGGACTCGCAAGCAGAGTGTGTGGACGACGATAGAGAGTGCAAATCGACGGTCTCGGTATCGTCAAGGTCTTCCACTTCTCCGATAGAAGGCGCAGTCGACAGCAGACGCTCTCGTACAGTCTGCACACCGGAGGCCTGCGAGACGACGGAGCTGAAGAGCGACGAAGACGGTGGCGCTAGCGTCGGCATCGTCAGAGAATCGTTAGCTGAAACTTTTCACGTGAAGTTCTTGGTTGACGTCGACAACATACCTTCATTACTGACTGTTAGTCAATAAAATAGGTAATGTATGTGCCCCACACTAGGATTTGTTGAAGCTTTGCGTCAATTCGTAATCTTCCTCAAATGGTGTCAACGTCTGTGGCTGTGGCGGCGGTCGTGCTGCTGTCCAGCGCGCTGCTGATGCTGGGCGACCGCGTGGACCTCCCCCCACTTGAGACACTTAAGCAGCAATGGGCAACCAGTAGCGGTTATGACCTGGCGGATCTGTCAGCGCCTGTGCTCTACGGTCAGCCACTGTTGGCACTGGCCTATGTGGCTCGCCTGCCCGTGCTGGGCCGTATCCTGTGCAACCAACTGGCTAAGGACAACAAGATCGTTGAGGCCCGCAAGTTCGCGGCCTCCATCCCCGACCTGCCTCTATACTACCCGTACCTGGAGCCCAAGCAGAGCGACTTCCGACAAGGAGAAGGACCGCTATCCCTCGAGGATTTCAGCAAGAAAGCAACGAAGAGCAAGAGTACAGACGCTTTCAAGCACTGGAGTATCGCCGACTACACGTCACGCTACACCTCCGGCGAGGTGACGCCTGTACAAGTGGCTAAAGCGCTATTGGCTGCAGTTGAGAAGAACCAGCAGAGTGACTATCCTCTCAACTTGTTTGTGGAGAAACACGACGAGGAAATTCTGGCGCAGGCCAAGGCGTCAGCGGAACGCTATGCGCGCGGCAAACCTTTGGGTGTGCTGGATGGCGTACCGGTTGCTATCAAGGACGAAGTGCACATCAAGGGCCACCGCATGTTCACTGGGACGTCCTTCCTAGGATATGAAGAGGAGCCTGCAACGGAAGACGATCCGCCGGTTGCTCGACTTCGTGCAGCTGGAGCGATCATCTTGGGCACAACCAACATGCATGAGATCGGCTCGGGTGTCACAGGCTACAACATGCACTACGGCACAGTCCGTAACCCATACAACCCGAAATGTTACACTGGTGGATCATCCAGTGGTTCAGCTGCCGCTGTAGCGTCAGGACTGGTGCCGTTGGCGCTGGGCTTGGACGGCGGTGGCTCTATTCGCGTCCCCTCCTCGATGTGTGGCGTAGTCGGTATCAAGCCCACGTTCCAACGGATCCCTCCCCCTGCAGCAGACTGTCCATCAGTTGCTCACGTTGGCCCGATCGCAGGTACTGTTCGTGATGCTGCTATTGGCTACGCTATTATGAGCGGTGGAGACGAAGCTAGCTTCCCTCGCGGAATGACTCAGCCACCCGTAGACCTGCATTCGTTCGAGGATACGTCTTCGCTCAAGGGTGTTCGCATCGGTTACTTCAGCGACTACACGAACCACTCGTCACCTGAGATCGCGGAGGCCGTCACTAAGACGCTTAAAGCTCTCAAGGCTCGTGGAGCGGAGCTGGTGGAGACCCCGCTGCACCACCTGACATCCATTCACGTCGCCCACTCCATCACTATTACGTCTGAGTTTGCTCAGAATCTGGACAAGTACTACGAGCGCTTCGGCGAGATGTCTCCGGAAGTGCAGCTCATTCTGACGTTCGGCCGAAGCTTCACGGCCATGGATTTCCTCGCAGCACAGCGCGTTCGCGCGTTCGCTCTGCGTCAGTTCCAGGAGAATGTACTGAGTAAAGTGGACGCATTCGTGACGCCATCGACCGGTATCACCGCCCCCGAGATTCCAGCCGAGGCTCTTGCAGTTGGTGAGTTGAACGCAGCTCAACTGGGCAACATCTTCCGCTTCAGCGTCTACGGCAATCTCATCGGCGTGCCGGGCGTGGCTGTGCCGATCGGCTACGACTCGCGCGGACTGCCCATGTCCATCCAGTTCCAGACCGCCCATTGGCAAGAGGACACGATGCTGCGTCTGGCCCACACTACCGAAGAACTGTACGCCAAGACTCAGAAGAAACCGCAAATTTACTTTTCCATCCTCGATGATGCGGTCAAGCAGTCCAGCGACTAAACTACCGGTAAATGTCGTAGCACAGCGAATCTATCTGCCGTACAACTTCAACTTTCATCTGTTCATGCTTTCCCGCCAAAACTGCAAATATTTCATTTCGACAAAATTCGCAATTCCCGCGCTATTGTTACTTTTTACTTAATCATCGAACATGGAGGCTCCAGCGGACGAGACCTCCGTCCTCATCATGGGGCATCGCGTAGCCTTCCCCGCTGGTAAGAACCCGTTCCCAGCGCAGCTAGCCGTTATGAGTAGCACGTTGTCGGCACTGAAGCGCAAGCAGCACGCGCTGGTGGAGTCTCCCACGGGATCAGGCAAGACGCTGGCGCTGCTGAGCTCATGCCTCACGTTCCAGCGCGATTATATGGAGGAAGCCATGGCTAAATACTACCAGAGGAGAGTGCAGCAGCAGCAACAACAGCAAATGCAGCAGCTTAGAGCGCAGCAACAGCAGAACCAGAACCAAAGTCAAATAAACCAGGTTACAGGCTGGGACGACGACGCCTTTGGCCTCCTGCAACGCAGTCTTAAGAGGTTTAAACGAGAGAACGGAGCTGCTGCTGTGGATGTTATTGATCTTACCGCCAGCAGCACACAAGAGAGTGCACTGCCGACGACGCCAGAGACTCAGGAATTGTATCAGGAGAGTCAACAACAATCGCAACAAGTGAAGCAGGAGGGTGAAGACGAGACTGCGTTCGGGCCTAGTGATCTTAAAAGTAACGAGCCGCCTGTTCCTCCGAAGATTTTTTTTCTGTTCGCGAACGCACTCTCAGCTGACACAGGCGGTGGACGAGTTGAAAAGCTGTCCGGCTTCGTACATGCGAGCAATTCCTGGGTCTACAGAGCTGCAATCTTGTGTATTGGCTGCAAAGCGTTTACTATGTGTGAATGAAGATGTGAATAGTGAGCCGATGTTCGTGAATGAAAAATGTCAGGAGCTGCGGATAGAGAAGGAGCGAAGACGCATGGCAGGAGACATGGAGGATGAAGGCGGATGCAAGTACAGCCAAACGAGCTTCAGTCGGCTACGTGCCCAATCGCCACAAGTATGGGACATTGAAGACATTTCCAAGCTGGCTTCAACTTGCGAGGAGTGTGCGTACTTCTTCTCCAAGAATGAACTCGAGACCGCACATGTTGTCTTCTGTCCATACAACTACATACTGGATCCGTCAATCCGGAAGGCCGTCGGCATTTCCCTGCAAAATTCCATCGTGGTGCTGGACGAAGCCCACAACGTTGAAGACACGTGTCGTAGTGGTGCCAGCCTTGAGATCACCAACAATATGCTGTCTAGTGCTATTAAGTCTTTCGACGACGTTATTTGGCAAGAAGATGAAGGTTATCAGCCCCCAGCTTACGACGCCGTGCGTCATATGTTGAGCTCTGTCGAAACGTGGTTCACAGTTAACGAAGAATTGGTAAGAGATCCCGAAGACGTAGACGATGATGATTGCCATGTGCTGTGGAGCACTGAGGATGCACTGGACGTACTGTGTCAGTGCAAATTAATTGAAGTGTCCGACGCTGACATCGCAGAGATCGCTCAACATGAACAGTTGAAACTAGCTACCCCGGGTAAGAAATTTTTGTTGAGTAACAGTGCCTTGAACACTGCCACGAGGTTGATTTCCGTGGCTACGTACATGTTCAGCAACAATGGCAAGAACGCAGACGATTTCAAGTTGCTGATTACCAAAAAGATGAGGCTAAACGATGAAGGAGAAGAAGTGATTGACACAAAGTTGTGTATTTGGTGTCTAAGTGCAGCGGTGGTGTTCGCAGAGGTGGCGCGCAATTCACACAGTGTGATCCTCGCATCGGGAACACTCAGTCCTATGGATTCATTCGCTGGGGAACTTGGTGTGGAGTTCCCGATTCGTCTAGAAGCTAACCATGTGGTGAACATGCGCAAGCAAGTATTTGTCGGCGCACTTATGAATGGACCGGGAGGTGTCGATTTATTATCAACTTACAAGAATCAACAGAATTTCCAGTATCAAGACTCGATGGGATACTTGTTATTGCAGTATGCCCAGATGATTCCAGGTGGAATTCTCATGTTCTTCCCGTCGTATGCGCTGATGGGCATCTTGAAGGCGCGATGGGAGCGTACGGGGATCTGGGCCAAGCTTGAAAAACACAAGAAAATGTTTAGTGAACCTCGCCAGGGTGGGAAAGATTTTGACGAACTACTTGACAAGTACAAGAATATTATTGCCCAGCATGCTGCCACCCGCGATGTACCTAGTGGATGGATCAATGGCAACTCTGAACCACGAGAAACCGGAGCGATTTTCCTTGCTGTTTATCGTGGAAAAGTAAGTGAAGGTATCGATTTCTCCGACGACAACGCGCGAGCAGTGCTTGCTGTTGGAATTCCGTTCCCAAATTTCAAGGATCTCAAAGTATCGTTAAAGCGCGAGTACCAGGACAACAAATCACGTGATGATCGGAGATTGGTGAACGGTTCTTGGTGGTACAAATTGCAAGCGTTTCGAGCACTCAACCAAGCACTAGGTCGTTGCATTCGACACCGCCGTGATTACGGTGCAATCTTGTTGATCGACTCCCGACATCGCAATAACATACACGGGAATTCGCTCTCCAAGTGGATGAGACCACACGTTCAGGAATTTCGATCCTCAGAAGACTGCAATTCTCTTTTTGCTGAGTTTTTTCAAAGGAACCAAGCAGAGACGCCGGTGATGGTTCCTGTACTAGAACCAGAACCAGCGCCAGCACCGTTGGTACCGACACCAGGACCGTTCGTACTGGAGTATGAAGACGATATTTCGATTAAAGCAGAGGCTCAGACTGTGCCATAGTGGAAATTTTGAATTGGTAAAAAGTCATTTAAATTGAATTGATGAAGCGCCGGAAACTAGCACACGTCGCAGGTGTGTTGAAAAGGAACTTGTGTACGGCTAGCGGGATGAGAGTTTGACCAGAGCAGCCGCCTTGAATGTCGTCAGATGCGTACTTAATGGTCGGTGTCAGCAAGTCTTGAAGGAATTTTGTGAGTTTGCGAGCAATGCGTTCGTTGCTGACGAACATCAACATCACTGCATCCGGGTTTTCACCAAGCACGAACCAGTTCAGAATCGCCGAGCAGAGTTCGCAGCGCTTGCCGGAGTGTGCAGAGCTCACGATTTTGTGGAGTTCATCAGCAACGTCCTTAAAGTCGGATTGCTCTCGTTCAATTCGCACTGCGGGTTCCGTCGATGCAGTTGATATACCAGAGCAAGAGGTGGAAGGAACCATGAACACTTCGACTGTGTATCGCGTCTTGCTGCCCTTTTTTTTTCCAGAGGCTGAAATGCGGACGGCGTCGACCTCCTTGAGCTCCTGCAGTGCATTTCTTCGAGCCGATGCACTGGCAGATTCCGACTTCGATGGTAGCAGCACTTGGAGCGTCGCACCCCATCGGTCCGTGAGACCTGGCAGCATTATTGCGGTTCTTGAGTTGGTTTCGACTGAGGTGAACTACGCAGATTTGAAAATGAACCTTGGACGCCAAAGGCAAGAGTGCTCTTGACGTGGACGGTTGAGTCAAGTCACCGCTGGACCAATGGCATTGGCTCCCACAACTACGTCTACTTCAGCCAAGTTGCGTGAAGAGCCCAGCTCCTCTCATTTTGATTGTTTAGTTGTACTGAGTGTCATCCAAACCGTGAAGTCATCTAATCTCACAGGTAGTACAGTGTGCACCCCGCTTTCGCGGGAGTGGACCATATAGGATTTGCAAATACATCATGTTTCAGCGTAGAAACCTGAGTTTATTTGGCAAAAGGAGAATTATATCTGGAAGTTTATCAAAGGTCCGAGGGCGCCAAAACTGAAGTGTACCAGCATACTTTATCGCCATTAATATTTTGCGATCGCCACACGAGTCACATGGTGATGAAAACAACATGTACTGTAGTAATTCGATGTTTTTTTTAAAGTACTCAGTGCCAGAACCAGGCAACCAAGGAGCTTTTTAATTTGGCAAGTGCAACAGCAAGTGAAGGCACAAGAAAGCATCATGTTGATTATGCTAAATTCGTTGCAACAACCGCTGCGCTACATGTTGATTATGCTAAATTCGTTGCAACAACCGCTGCGCTACGGCTGCAATCTCTAAT